AATTAAAGTTAAAAATGAAAAATTAGGATCAAATTCCATTTTTCTTTAATTTTTCATAAAACAGGAGAAGTTGGTTAAGTATAAATAATTAGTTAATGTTTTAGTTTCAGTGTAGAGAAATACTTTCTAACTTTATTTTTTAATTTCTCCTTTCTTTTCTTTTCTTTTTTTAGTCGGATCCATTTTAAACTTCTTTTTATAAAAGATTCATTATGTAATTTCTTAGAACGTGCAAATCATTTTGGTATTTTTTCTAACAATGGTTTCTTTTGATGGAATTGATGGAATTTTAATTTACAGTACTTTCTAACATAATTGATGGAATTTTAATTTACAATGGTTTCTTTTGACGGTTGATCATTCTTTGGCCTATTTGATTTACATATCAGGTGGGTATCCCCTAATCAGATCCTATTTAATTTAGGGTATCCCGTAATCAATGGACTCCACGTTTGGGACATATCTTATAATAAACTCTTGAAATTTAAATTTGCATACGATTGCTCATACGATGAAAATTGCCCATGGCCTAATGGATAAGGCGTCTGGCACTATACGAAGGATTTGAAATACGGAAAAGAAATACGGGAAATGGTGAACACCCAACATTGACAAACAAACGTGCAGAAAGGTAGAGCGTCAAGCATCTAGTGGACACACAAGGTTTGCGAAAGAAATACGGGAAAGAAATACGGGAAATGGTGAACACCCAGCATTAACAAACAAACGTGCAGAAAGGTAGAGAGCATCTAGTGGAGACACAAGGTTTGCGAAAGAAATACGGGAAATGGTGAACACCCAGCATTGACAAACAAACGTGCAGAAAGGTAGAGCGTCAAGCATCTAGTATTTTTCTCGATTTCGATATTAACCTAATTTTAATGGGAAATTATGTTCAGACAGAAGAATTTTAGAAATTTTTAGCACCAATTCTAAGGAAAATCAAGTTGGACATGATCACTAACATGCTACAATAAAGTTGTTACTACATACATGACATGATTAATGTGTACGCAAAATACTCATATAAAATATTTCATAAAAGGTGTCATGGGCTCCCACATTCCTAATAAAATGTTTAAAACAATAATGCGAAAAATAAATCATGTGAAGTTTGGATAAAATAATGAAAAATAAAAACATTGACGCGAACTAACCTAAGGACTACTAAATAGACATAAATTGTGTATACCCTACCTCTAGTTCCAATGCTTTCATCACGACGTCGCCATCTGTACCTTGGTGCCTAACCTTTACCTGAAAAATAAGTATTACGTGGTTTAAGTAGTTTAAGAAATACGTAGTAAGTAACTACACATTTGGTGTCTAGAAATACAAACACATATGACATGATAGGCTCTAATGGAATTGCCTTAGGTAGCTTTCCAGCTCTGGCAAGGTTGGATGTATAGTACTTTCCTAAGCACGACCAAACCACGAGCACAAAGATCCACCTAAGGTCTCATGTACTGCCTAGGCCTGTCTCAATGGACTAGCACTCGCTAATGTGCTCTCAGACACCATGGAGGGAAAGGGCCTGCATAATATCATGACGAACATAATTGTCGTAAGTCATAAAGTACACATTTGAAGTAATTATAATAGAAAAGTATCACGATGCATATGACACACAAAAATTCATGAGGTCCCCATGCCTTAAAAAAATGACATAAATTTATAATGCAAGTCAAACCTCCATTCCATTTATAACGTAGTTATGCAGACATAATTCTTATCAAATCTTTCATATACACGTGATAGCACATCATAACACATCATAGATTATCATCGTAATAACATATTATTATAACATAGTATAGTCACACTATAGTCTAGCTTATAAACATGGCATAACACAACATTGGATAGCATAACAATCATAATTATGACATGCTCAAGGGACACACGTATGCGTTATAATACGCAATACAATTCATCCAACCAAGTAAATAATAGAGTCACTTACTTGATAGGTTTAGCAAGGGTTGTTAGTTTATCTTTGGAGCTAGTCTAATTTGGTGATGGCTTAATGTGACATTTTGGGATTAATAAAGAAGACCTTCCATGTATCATGATCACTCTATTTAAAGAGTCATGTTTGCATGTTCATGCAAACTTGAGATCACCAAATTTTGACACTTAAAATTCCACTCAAATGTTTGGGATTATGTGGCAAGCATGCATGTTTGAGTTAACCAAATTTTGACACTCAAAATTCCACTCAAACTTGTGGGGGTTTATTTGGCAAACATGTAAGTTTGGTTAAACCAAATTTTGACACCTCAAAATTCTACTTACACAGATTTTTCCATTAGATGAAAGTTAACCCTTTGACTTTCTTCATATTAATTCAACAATTAATTTGAATAATGAATTTCAAATTAAAGTAACATTAAATGATTAATTAAACTATTTAATTAATATTTAATATTAATTCAAATGCCAATCCCAATCAATTCCGACACATAATTGATTAAGATATTTAAAGCTTACTTAAATATCTAAGATTCTCTCTTTTTGTTTAATTCGTAAATAAAACAAAATTGCAGTTAAATATATCGTATATATTTAATGCATATTCCATAATTTGAATTCGAACACTTCGAACTCACTCGTCACACTGTTCTATGGTTTAGTCCGATATGCGCTAGCAGAAGGACCTAATGGACCTATAGATCAGGGGCTCCAATGATCCAAGATTAACCGGTTAAACTCATTAACCTGGTTAACCAACATTCGTTAACTACTAGCACACTCCACTATAGCCTAGTAGTTGCACTCCCCTCACTATAGATATATTTCTGTCCATCTGATATAACCATGATTAGTAAGTCGATCCTTCACAGGTTGTTCGTAACTAGAGCTGGATTAATTTACCGTTTTACCCCTGAAGTTACTTCTTGTTCCTTATGTCTCACTGATCCTCTAATGAACAATTGGTTTGAGGTCCAACTAGTAAACCGAATCCCTCTCAGGCCAATGAGACGGTGGGGCCCCTTGTTCAAGACCTGGAGTCAGTGCTTAAGGGAACTACCTTTCTTCTATCCCTAAAAGTGGGTAGGAGTGAATTCTGTCTTGCACCCCACGTCCCCAACCATTCACCCAGTCTTACCCCTGAAATGGGAGGCCGGTTGAGTCGACGAACTAGAGCCACTCTCACCCATGCAAATCTAAAGATAATTCCGAATAAACAGGAGTTCATGGTTAGCTCAGGATTAAAACCGAGTTACCTAGATTATCGAATGAAAAGAAAATCAGTCTCAACAGTGAACGACATTATAAAGTGAGAGTGGTTTTCTTCATGGTCCGATCTTATGCAATACTCATTGCATAGGCGCCCCCACTCACATGTCTCCACATGTACAAATTAGTGATCACATTGTTTATATCATATATAAAAGTGGGCCGCATCCATAGTGTCCCCAGAATAAGGCACTCAGCCTTATCCTTATACTATAGATCATTTTGACTATATACTTGAACTTGATCCACTCTTATGTCTCTACATATAGTTCAAGTAATCATACTATAGCCAGAGTGTTCTTAGTTTATTGGATTTAGATTAATGATCGTAAAGTTCACTTTACTCAATAACAATTTTTACTGAATAAACATCAATAATAACTTTATGGAGAATAGAATATATCTTTGTTTACAAACTATGAGTTTTAGGACATAAAACCCAACATTAATATTTTAAGAAATACTTAGTAAGTAACCCCACACGTTTGATATCCAGAAACAAAAACACACCTGACATTCTAAGACCTATAATTAAAAGACAACATGACAAACTTATAGGCATGACCTATAGCGGTTTACGCATCATAGATTATCATTATGATAACGTATTATTACATCATAATATAGTCACACTATAGTATAGCTTATAAACATGGTATAACACAATATTGGATAGCATAGCAATCATAATTATGACATGTGCAAGGTTAACGGGAATGCGTCATAATATGTGAGTTGCTAGATCGACACACAATGAATTTGGCTGGGGTGCTAAGTTCGCATGGGTTAACTAGGGTTTGTCTTTGATTATTGCACCAATGGGGACTACTCCTTGATGGTTACTGTAGCACCCAAAAATGAAGGAAATTAACTCCAATGAGAATAAGCCACCTATGTAAGTCCCAAAGGATCCCAGGAATGATATTAAGAGGATTAACCACAAGGGTCTTAAACAATGATTTCTATACCCTAAAGAGTAATTATAATGATTAAGTCTTTCGAGAAGGATTGGGAATGGAAAAGTAAGCCAAAATCACGAAAATGTAGTTTTTCTAATTATTAAGGATCTTTCCATATTTTTAATTCCTTATCTAGAAGGAATTTTAAGATGCTCGAAAAACTAAAAAAAAAATGACCAACAACAGATTAAGAATTTTTAGAAAAGTTATAGATTTTTCAAAAAAAAATAATAATAAAGTATTCAAAAGTGGGAAATTACCAAAATACCCCATAAATTATTGATACGTCATTCTGCTCAAAATCCGAACCTCGAGAGTGACCACTTACAAAAAAAAAAAAAAAAAAAAAAAAAACCAAACAAGCATATGGAACTCCGCATAACCTTAAGGGATATGTGTCTGCAATGAACACCCAACCGTGATTAGAGGATTTTCAAACTGTACAACTTGAAGATAGATGGTAATACCATTTTACTTGAAAATAACTATTATATCGAGAGCCCATGAGGAATCCAAACTTTTTTATAAATGCTTTAAAACAAACCGTCCATACAGCTACAACATTGCTTATCTTCTAATACAAAATTATAATGAGTCTCATGCTTCACCGGTACCATTCCATACAATATCAACTACATGCTTAGAATAAAAAATAGTCTGGTGATTGAAGTCTTAGGAATATCCATAAGACAATGTTGCTGCTGGAGTATTCTCTAAAAGAAAATAAATATCTATTCTTCAACAAAAGACTCGAAATAAAATAAATAAACACGATTAAAACAAGATAGGAAATAACACCTATGCAAGAGTATTGCAATAGCTTACCAAGACCACAAGGAATTTAAGAAGTCCAACCATTGCAATAGTTGAAAGAATGGAGAACCATATAACTGAAAAGAAGGATGTTGTCCCCATACGTATAAAGGAATCAATGCCCCTAAAGGCACAGTCCAACCATACAATTGATATGAGAAGCATTATGTTACCAAAATGCACCATCCACTTCAGAACAATGGGATATGCCTTCTTAATCTTCTTTCCAACACAGTCACTTGTATTCAGTAAACTTTTCTTCATAGAATTAAACAGAGGTCTCTGTTTCTCCAGAAACACATGGGCTGCTTCAAATGTTGATGACAAAAATTCCACAAAACTTTTCACCAAAATATTATCTGAAAATTTTATATTGTCCACCACATTTCTGATGCGTTCTCTATAGCTACAATCTAAATGTACCCGCTCCCTATCACCAGTAGACCCCTTGTATCGTTCTCCTATTCTAGAACCCTCATTATCTCCATTGCAGTTTTCAAATTCTTTGGAGGGAAATGTTGGCTCGTCTGGAGTATGGAGTCCTTCCATTCCTTGTTTTTCTTTTCTCAAAGACTTTGCAGAATTTTTTACATTCTTTATACCCTCTCCAGTGTCACTATTCACCATGCCTTCTTCAATGGATCTGCTATAGTGGTTGTCATTTGGCAGTTCCTCTCCAGAACGTACCTTTATCTCTTGTACTCTTCCTTGCACCTTGGACTGCAAGTCTGAACCTTTCTTTTTACTGTTTGATGCATGGCGCTCTGACCCTGTTTTCTGATGATTACCCTTCCGAGCCATTGAATAGAAAATTTAAGGATCAATTTCAAGAGTAATTCAATTGAATCATTTCCAATCGCAACATATGGTCCATAGCAAGCAAGCAGGAAAATGTGCAAAGGTTATAGCCTGTAGACAAAAGAAGTATATAGTCAAAGCCTAATTTGTTTCCTTTGATGATCATTAAAGTAACAAATATGTTGATGATAATATAAATAGAAATTGGCACAAGAAATATGGAGAAAGCACATTAATGGACGCAAACATAATCTAGCTTTACAGGGTCAAAAAAGCATTGAAGGGAAATCAGCAAGGACAAAAAAAAAAAAAAAACTTTTTTAAATAGAGAAAGCAATTATGTAGACATACATAACCAGTGTTGTTCGAGGCATAACTTGCATTTTATGTGGTTTCACTACGGTGCATCTAAGACNGTACCCTCGTGATGGGATAGGGGTATCCCCCCAAATGCATGATCACACAATATGCATGAGGTCCCACTAGTCCTACAGTCATCATTTAATGAACATAACCCCGTGTCACATTTTTATGCTTACATGTCATTCTCATTCTCATTTCGTTACATATCATACATATTCCTAGCGGGGTTATGTATCATGCAATTTACCGTATTTCATGTCATACAATTCATTTAGTTACAATCCAATACTCATACAACAAGCTTAATCATACAAGGGCCATACATCGTCACATGCATTCATATCACATCAACTAAGCAGTATAAATAACATACATTCACGTTCACATGATTTCGTACTTAAGCACAATAATCTAGCATACAATGTATCATATCATAACCAAGTCATAACGCAAACACTTCATAGTCATATCATTCTCTAACTTACCATAGCCTTAACGTTCTTATACCTATCACAGACATATCATTACGTGACGTACCTTAGTCATATCGTCACAAAAACGTACCCTAACGCTATCGTTCTATCAATCTATCAATCTATCAAAAACCTATCCCTTTCTACCCATAACCTAACTGTATTCTTTCATCAACTCTCCTATCCATAGCACTTCGGTATGTAACCTAACTCTAACATTTCATGAACGTATCTTACTCCTATCGTTACATTTCGTTTTGTGCATCCTTATCGTACCCTATCTCAAACGTATCCTTGAGCACATCGTACCATAATTATTATCATACAAACCACATATTATAACATAACATAACATATAGGAAGCATATCGATCCACAGACAATTCACACATATCAATATATATGACACCTGCAGAACCACAGGCCACGTGTCATCATAAAATATAACCATGCCGATAGTAAGGTCACTTACCTGGCTAGCTTAAGTCATTGTCACGAATATATCTTTAATGAAAGTTTGGTTCCGTCCTTTGAAATCCGGGTCAACCTATATGAGCCCATGACATTAGTTTCGGGTTTGAATTCTACAACATTATTTCTCTAATTTACATTGGTCCATTGTTAGAAGTCTTGAAATGTTATATATCTATAATTATATTTTTATTAAAAATCTCATTTTTCATGGTTACTATGGTATAAAAAGTGATACAGCTAAGTTATTCTGAGCTTTACTGTTATCTGTATTTACCTTTCCCTCCATATTTAGTTTCTATTTTTAATTCCCTAATTTTTTTTATCTATTGCGTTTTAATTATGTTCTCATGTATTCCAATTTTACGGTGGATCTCTATTTCCAAATCTTTCCTTATCTCAGTATTTCCTATTTCCTTATCTCAGTTTCCTATTCAGAAGTTTTCTTGGTCATTCTATCTTTAATCTATTCATTTGGCTACTGATAAAAATTTAATCTAATATTACTAATATGACATGATTGACTAGAATCGTATAAATGATTTGACATTTAATTTCTAACTAAAAGATGGATCATGGTAATAATTCAACAAAGATCTAACTATAATTGGTTGTGATTTCTAAAAAAAAAAAAGGATAAAAGAAAATGAAGGTTTAATACATACATTATTGATCAGATCTATCTTCACGTAAATCTTCAGCTAATCTCAACTGGGTAAAGGTCATTCTCATTTTTTTTTTCCAAGTAAATCTGACAATTATTGTTTTCCTTTTCTGTTTGCAGTGTTTCCAGTAACTGTTACTTTATGGCGATGGATTGAGGAGAGATAATTGTGGGAAGGGACGAGAGGTTAGTGGAGAGAAGTGGGGGAAATGTTGTTTTTATTTATTTATTATTATTATTTTAACTACCTCATTATAATTATTTTTATTTGTTTATTTGTTTATTTATTTTTGGCTATTACAAGAACGTTAAAAAATCATCGAATCCAACCGTCATAATTAATACTGGAAGTCGATAGCTCATTGATCAGAGATGATATTTTCGACGAACTATCTAGATAATTTAATCTCCAAATCACGACGATTTTGGAATAAGAATCGAGCAAGGTCGAGCTCTCAATCGTAAGTTATAAGTGTTTAGATTTTAGGTCTCCTATTCTAGTATTTCTTCAAAATTCGAGAACAATTCTCCACCATTTCCCTTCAAAAATTTTCCTGCACTTTCTCAACAAGATTACCCAAAAGTTCTATTAAGGATTAGAGTGTTGAAAGTGGCTAGAAACCATTCCTCCAATCCAATTAGTCATTGACGAGTTTCAAGGAAAATTTGAAAATCCAATCCGAGGATACCCGATAATTCATCAAGCAAGGACGATCCCAATCAATTTCTGCACCTCCAATGAATGTAAATTGTAAGGGCTAATAGGGATTAGAGTGCTGAAAGTGGCTAGAAACCATTCCTCCAATCCAATCAGTCATTGAAGAGTTTCAAGGAAAATTTGAAAATCCAATCCGAGGATACCCGATAATTCATCAAGCAAGGACAATCCCAATCAGTTTCTTCACCTCCAATGACTTGAGACCTTGAATAGGGAATCTCAGAATCTTATTTATCTGAATGTACATTATTTGTAATTTAAGCTAGGATGACAGAGCTCGGTAAATTGTAAGGGCTCAAGTCATTAAGCGTAGGAATGGTATCAGAGCCTCTCAATTTTTGTGAGGGAAGGAGTTACTCGATCTTCAAGAACTAAATTGCAGAAACCAGGAAGATGATAAGAGAAACTCAAAAGAATTTGGAGTATGTGATAGCTGAGCGAATAGCTCTTGTGTTCTTGGTGGTAAGACGTGGGAAGCGCAGTAAGTCCGTTGGCAAGCTTGGGTGCTTAGTCATATGAAAAAATTCTGAAGAAAATCTTATCTACAACCTGACACCTTTATCAGAGACAAAACAAAGATTGACAACTTGTCAGCCACACAGTGAAGGCTGACATGTGAATTAGAAGTGTTTGTAAATTACTAGTCTTTTAAATTATTAGTTTGCTTTAGGTCTTTTCTTACTTTTAGGAAATCAGATCATGCAGGGGTCATGTCCGACTAGATTTGATCTTATCTCTTAATTTGCGTTTTTCAAATTTACGTTCAAATCCGAAGTCTATAAAAGGACTTCATCAATGTAAAGAGGGCATCGATCGGCCGATAACTCTCTCTTGAATATCAATTGAAAAATTTAGAGAAAATTTATTCTACTCTATCTCTTATCTTATCTATCTCCGTATGAACGAATTTCTGAGAAAACTCAGAAAATCAAACCATTTCAAATATTCTACCGATGAAGAAGAAAGTTCAAATGAGCATAGAAGGGGAGAAAATCTCACAATCTCAAATACTGAAAATCAAGAATATCAGATTGCCAAGATCGAAGATCAACTTCAAAATTGGACTATTCCAAAGGTAGATCCTAAAATTATCTACCAAAGCTCAACCTTCAATTTTACTTAAAGATCATGCATCAAATTCTAAGAGAAAAATATCCCAATTCATAGTAATAGGGAATCTCTGAATCTTTTTTCAAGATCTCTTATACTCTAATGAAGAATTTAACTATCTTCACGTCGGTCTTGTCCAAGTCGCTGTAAAACCATTGTTCAGACTTGGGTTAGGTATCCCAGTCCTATCTCCTTACGAGATAAGAGACATGAAGATTTCTCAAATTCTTTATTGGGGATCGTTCAATCCAATCTAGAGAATGGACCAGTCTATTTCAATTGTTATCCAAATTTTACTTTGTCACTCCACGACCCGCCCATATTATCAGCCCTCATGCTGGACTTACAATAAAAAAATTAGAACATCAAGGCTGAAACTCATTCTTCAGTCGTCATATTCAGGGTTTATTACAAACTCATGAATACAAATATTTTCCCAAGAGCATTAAGATCCTCGCCAAAAAGATCAATCATGCTCATAGAAGAAATATTGGAAAGTCCTTAGTGACGGTTCAAAAAACTCTTTCTTGGGATTAAATAACCAGAAATACTCTCTGGAAAATAGAAGATGCTAATCTTCCGAGGAAAAAGGAATCTCAAAACCCATTACAAATCATCGAACATGGCGATGGAAGCGTTGAAATAAAATTCAACGAAGAACCTACGTCAGAATCAAAAGTAAAAGAATTCTTGAGTTCTAGACCAAGTATGTCGGCAGTTTCAAAATCAATGGATGACCCCTTAAAGGTAAAAGAGGTCAATTATGATAAAAAAAAAAAAAAGTGCATCAATTCACTGTGAAGATGGCTCAAGATCTCCAACCCGTATGGATATGGATACTCAATCCGTCTACGAAAGTCAGCTAAATGTCATTACAACTGATTTTTAGATAGACAAAGAATTTTTTAAGGCAGATTTTATGTTAGCTGCCAACTCTTCAAAGAGAAAAGCTTTCTTCCAAACTTACAAAAAAGCTGAGCGAAGTGAATTAAAAGCTCAGTGGTATTCTCATGTGGAAACCATAGAAGCAAACATACCATTCTTCGCATGGTTTGAAGAAAATATTTTGCAAATATGCACTTTGACTCAAAGAAGCTAGAAGACTACCAGAAGAGGTGAAGTATATTCAAAACATCCTCAGTTGGAAGAAGTCGAATTTGACAATTACTACGGAGAAAAAGTCAAAGCCAGTCCTTTCAAAACTATCCCAGAAGGACTAGAAAAGGGTAATCCGACCCTAAAGGATATAAAAAATATCCAGCAACAAAATAATTATTCAATCAAGATTTTATCCACGATCTCCACACAGCTTGAGAGTATCGAAGGAAAAATCTCGAAAAATT